TGGATGTGGTTTAACTATGGGGGGGTATGGATACGGTTTAACTATGGGGGCTATAGCTAGGAGGGGTATGGATATGGAGTCAGGGAAGTGTTTGATTTTGTAAATGGGAATCTTGATCATATGTAAAACTGATGGGGGGAATATCAAATGAGAGGGGAATTGACTGTGTTGGAAGATGAGGTAACAGACTGGGTGAGAGTGCCTGAGAGGGCAGGAGATGGGTAGGGTCCAGAAGCAGGGAGGATTGACGTGGGTGGACGAATATAATAGCAGATGAAGGAAGCCCATTTGTGTTTCCTCCCCATCGGCAGTGTACGTGACAGTGTGTATGTGACAGTGTCATCTTCGGAAAGAGAAGAGGGCTGCTTTACATGTGGCTCCAGGTGGGCTTTCATTTCAGAATTACCATAAGTAACTCTGTTTCCTTCCTTCTCCCCTCCCTGTTTTTTTAACAGCTTTGTTGAGACATAACTCACATATATAATTCAGCCATTTAAAGTATATAATTCAGTGGGTTTAGTTTATTCACAGATAATGTGCAGCCATAACCATACTCAATTTTAGAACAGTTCATCACCTCTAAAAGAAACCCCTTGCCCTTTAGCCGTCACTGCCCCCACTTCTTATTCATCTTTTGCTATCAGAAGAGAGCATAGAATATGGTGTGAATGCAGATTTAAAACCATATGGTGATTTCAGAGAAGAGTATAAAGTGAGGCGTATGAAGGACTGCTATGAGCCTCAAAACTTTGGCCTAACCAGAGAAGCAGAGAGGGCTGAGGCCTACTACGTAGGGTCACTGGTATAAAATCGACAGATAATAGACTCAGAAAACCTAACTGTCAGATTCTTCCCTGTCAAAGAGCATCATCTTAAGAATGAAAATTAGTAAAATGAAGTTGAAAAAGCAACATGTGCCCAGTGGGGTATCGCTCAGCGGTTGAGCGTCGACCCAGGATCCAGGCGATCGGGGTTCGATTCCCGGTCAGGGCACATGCCCGGGTTGCGGGCTCGATCCCCAGTCGGAGGCGTGCAGGACGGAGCCAATCAGTGATTCTCATCATTGATGTTTCTCTCTCTCTCTCCCTCTCCTTTCCTCTCTATGAAATCAATAAAGATATATTTTTTAAAAAAAAAGAAAAAAAGCAACACGTGTAATGAAATTTTAAGAGAACATTTACTGTTGATAACTAATTTGATCTATTTTGGACCAGAAAAAGTACAATCCGGGGTATTTAAAATTTGTATATGGGATGGCATGGCAAGCTGTCAGGAATCTGAGTCATTAGCAGAATTGGGTAGTGACAGCAGACTGTAAAAGGTAAAGAATCTGCTTAATGCTGATGCTGATTACGGTTTCATAACGGGATTCTTGTATTAGGAGGAGGGTTTATAAGCTTAGACAGAAAGTAATGGTCAGTAGACATCAGCATAAAAGGTCTTACCAGATTTATTTCATTTTCTTAAACTCAGGAAGTGGAAGGAATAGTTATTCTTATTTTATCAATGTATTTAACAAAAAGCTACTTGAACATGATTTGGAAATAGGTGTATATGTAAGTGGTTGAGCAGCCATGCCCAAAGATTATTGTAAGTAAATTGTTACTGAAAAGAACATGATTCATTGATATAATGATAGGCTCCCTTCATGGTTATTTCCTCTTCAGCATTTTGGTTAATGAGGAGGCCATGGGAAGCATACCTATCAGATTTTCAGATGATACAAACAGGAGAGTGATAGCTAGTACATTGGATGTCCTTCAGATCCAGAAATACCTCTACAATGTTGAATGATGGGCTGTTAATGAAATGAAATTAAGTAGTGAGAAGAGTTAAAGCCTTCATTGCACTGTCATTCAGAGATCTGGCTTTGAATGAACTATATGATAGAACTGCAAAAATTCCTAAAGGCAGCCTTGGGCTACATTAACATTTGTGACATTTGTAGGAAAGGGGTGGTCGGATGTCTTCTGCATTTTTCCATTTTGGATAGGAGCATTAGCCCTATCTTAGGATAGTTGAAGAAGCTGAGAGGTTTCCTGGAGAAGACTAGGGAAGGCGGGCAAGCTGCCTTCACAGAGCCTTTCCGTGGAGAAGTTAGGGTACTACCTGCTCTGCAGTGCAGCCCCAGGACCAGCAGACACTAGTGAGGCAGTGTTCATCTCATAAAATTTTCAACAACTATCTGTTTCTGGAATCTGCTAATACTGCAGTCACTAGGAATATTTAAGGTGAAGCAATGCAGTCATTTGGTAAGGCTGTAGAAGGGAGTACCTTGGAACTAGATGATTCTTTAGGTACCATTAAATGCTTATGTCCTGCGAATCTATGCTAACTAATCTCCTTGAAGTAGGTTTCTGTTCACAAGTACTTCAGTTTATGTAGCTTTTTTATGGCCTTTGTTTTTCACCCGTCTTTAGTACTCTAGTCTCCTTTGTTATTACCTGTAACTCTTTGTTTTGTTTTTTTAGTGGTTCCTAAAGGAACCACTTACAGTACATAACTTCAACTTATTGCAGTCTTCAAGAAATATTATTCTGCTTCATATATGAAAACTTTATAACACTATACTCCATTACCCACCTTTGAGTTGTTGTTGTCACATATTTTTGTTCTACATGTGTCATAACCTCAGAACACATATTTATGCTTTAAACAGCCAATTACCTTTTAAAGACATTTTTTAAAACAATAGGGGAAAAGCTTTATATTTACCCACATTACTATCTCCAGTGCTCTTCGTTCCTTTTTGTATGTGCAGATTTTCATCTTGAATCATTTCCCTTCTGCCTCTAGGATGTCCTTAGACATTTCTTACAGTGCAGGTGACAAAACCTTCCAGCTTTTTTGTGTCTCAACAACTCTTTATTCAGCTTTGGTTTAGAATGATATTTTCACTAGGTATAGAATTGTAAGAGAATAGTTCTGCTTTGTCTTTTCCCAGAACTTTAATGATGTTCCTCCACTATCATTTTACTTGCTTCATTTCTATCAAGAAATTTGTTGTCATTCTTTAATTTTTTTCTAATGTTCTTTTTCTCTCTGGCTGCTTTTAAATTTTCTCTTCACTTAATTAAAGCAATTTGATTATTCCATGGTTTGGTGTAGTTTGCTTTCTGTTTCTTGTGCTTAGGATTTTTTTAATTTATTGTTTCCATGGGAATACAGTTTTCATCAAATTTGGTAATATTTCAGCCCTGCCAGCGTGGCTCAGCGGTTGAGCATCAACCTAGGACGCAGGCGATTGGGGTTCGATTCTCGGTCAGGGCACATGCCCGGGTTGCGGGCTCGATCCCCAGTCAGGGGCGTGCAGGAGGCAGCCGATCAATGACTCTCTCATCATTGATGTTTCAACTCTCTCTCTTCCTCTCCCTTCCTCTCTCTGAAATCAATAAAGACATATGTATTTTTTTAATTTGGTAATTTTTCAGCTATTATGTCCTCATTTATTTTGTCTGTTCTTCCTCCTTTGGGGACTGCACTGACACATGTGTCAGACTGCTTGCAGTCATCCTGTAACTCACTGCTGTGCCGGCTTTCCCCCTCTGTGTTTCATTTTGGACAGTTTTTATCTCTGTCTTTATGTTTACTAACCATTTCTCTTGCAGTGTCTAATCTGCTGTCGATTCTATCCAGTGTAATTTTTATTTCAGACATTGTAGTTTTACTTCTAAATGTTTGATTTGGGTCTTTTTAAAAAAATGCTTTCCATGCCTTTACTTAGCCTGTTTATTTTTTCCTGAACATACTGACTATAGTTATAGTAACTTTTAAAGTCCTTGTTTATTAATTCTGCCACCTGTGTCACTAGCAGGACTGTTTCTGTTGACTGCTTTTCTCATTATTGGTGCTGTTTTCCACTTTTGCTCCTTTTCGGGCTTGCTGTTAAGCTTTGTGTGGGACCAGAGAAGAGTTAGTCTAGGACAAATTTTGTGAATGGGATAAAACCCTTTGAATGCTCTGCTTTCTGTCCTGTGAACAGGAGGTTTCCCTCAGGTTAATGGGAACAAGAACTGCTTCCAACCTGTGTGAGCTCTGTGGTGCTGTTCCCTGGCCCTGAGCACTGTCCTCACATGTGTGTGCCCATCAGTACTCAGCTGACGAAGCAGGCGAGTCTTTGCGGAGCTCTCTCCTCTCTGGTGCTCTGCCCTGCTGCAAGGGCCAGGCTCCCTGGCCTCGGCAGAGGCACAGCTCGCTCAGCTCGGCTCAGCTCGACTCCTGGAGTCCCCGTTCCGCCCGGCTTCCTCTTTCCTGTGATGTGGCCTGGAAATGCCCCCCAGGCAGTAAGCTCTGGCAATCGTGAGGTTCACTTCATTCATTTCCTTCCCTCAGGGATCACTGTCCTGTACTGCCTGAAGTTCAGTGTTTAGAATTCATTGTTTCATCATTTTCTCCTAATTTTTTAGTCTTTTCCATGAGAAAAGTAAAATCTGGCCTCTGTTCCTCCATCTTGGTGAGAAGTGGAAGCTCTTTAGTGACATTTTGTTTATCTCTAACATTTTCCGTTGCATTCAAAACCTCTTTCAGCACATTTTCTGCTCCCACTCCCTGTTCTCTCCACACCTGTTCCCTGACAGGCCCTGTGCTCCCTCCCCCTCATCCCTGGTCATTCCAGTTCTTGCCCCTCCATCTCCTTTCCACAGTTCTTGCTTGTCGGTGTCTCCAGTCTCTGGATCAGAGCAGGTGCCTCTTCCACATTGTTTTCCTCCCATTTGATGCAGAATTGAACCTTCTCTCCCCGTTCTGTGTATCATAGTATTGTTTTCAGTGTTCAAGTGTACGTGTTGTGAGCCTGCTGGTCTTCCCTGCTGAGCACATGTGGTGATCCACATGTACACACATGCACAGCGTTAAGCTCCTGAGGGCAGCTTGAGCTCGTCTTTTATTTCTTGTCCATAGGTCCATGGGTTTATAGTACCTAGCAAAGGTATTTAACAAATGTAGGTGTGCTATATATGTTTGTTAAAATGAATTGTTTTTCCCCTGTCCCCCAAAATCAGGCCACAGAAGAAGTTTCCAAAAATCTGGTTGCCATGAAAGAAATTCTCTATGGCACAAATGAAAAAGAGCCGCAGACGGAAGCAGTGGCTCAGCTCGCTCAAGAGCTATATAACAGCGGGCTCCTGAGCACCCTGGTGGCTGACCTGCAGCTCATCGACTTCGAGGTAAGAAATCGCTCTTTCCGTTTTCACACAGCACCCTGTTCACAGTCCTTTTCTATGTGCTCCCTCCTTTGAAACATCTGGAGATTCCTGCCAGGCTCTTGGCTCAGGGGCTGTTGACCTAAGCATGCCCAGCTGCCTCCTATTAGCAGGGCTAGGACAGGAACTCAGCGGTGTCCCAGGCTTGGCCAGGTTTTCTCCCCTTATTTCACCACTTAAAGGAAGTTTCTTAACTATTCATTATGCCCTTTCATTTAGGTTGTATTTAATAAGCAGCTTCTGTTTTACATAATTCACTGGCCCTTGGTTCTCAAGGAATCAATAATCTAAAGACGAACATAGAATGTTAGAGTTTTAGAAGTAGATGAAATCTCTGAGAAGATCCAGTTATGTTTTCGGGGGGTTTTTTGTTTTTACCTGTAGAGAATTTGTTACAGCAGAGATTGTCTGTGTTTTGCTTGGCACTGCTTTTAAATGTTTAAATTAGGATGTCACTTAAATAGCAGATGTTATACACAATTTTGAATTTCTGGCCTCTTGAAAATTTTGACTCTGGTAGCATTAGGCCTATTGTCCTTCATGGCCTCTCGTCTGGGCCAGAAGAGCACCTACCCCATGATGCAGGAGACCCACACTTGGCTCTGTGGCAGACAGTGCAGCCTGCTTTTCTGTCTTAGGGCCGGCTTTACCCATCCACATCTCCTGCCTGGCTTTGGTAGCCATTTGAGATTGTTGCCCAAGCTTATACAGCTGGTTGTGCCATGTTAGCTATTTAGTCAGGGAGCAGTGAGAATAACGGTCCTTGATACCACTCTGAGAAGCATGTATATATGGTAATGAGGGGCTCCGGCATGGTCATGACTCTGATTCTTTATTATGGGTGGGCTTTTTGTTAAGCCTGTGCCTGTCATCCTGAGTGATTGGATGTCTGTGCATGTGATTGAAAAACCAGGGGAGAAAATGGCAGACATATTGCCAGATTCAGTTTTGGAAAGGGATATGAGGGTGGGGTTCATAGGTTACTCCAATAGAATATTAATGCAAAAAGAGAATGAAGTTTTTTATTTCTATCCTGTAGAACTACGATATTTCCATTTATGTAGCTGATTTCATTTATTTTTAATAGTGTATCAAATTTCAACAACAGTTTTTATTTCCTATGCAATGTTGGGAATGCACTAGAACATCCAGTTCCTTCTCTGTCCACCCACCCAGCCCCCAGCCTTGACACCGAATTTAATATTCATTTGGGACTTTAGAGACATTAATTTAAAATAAGTGTGTGCCCCTGGGACTGGTTCTTAGCTGTTGCTGTTACAACTCCTGACCTAGCATGGGCCCAGGGTGACCTCTGGCGCTGGAAGCTGTCGTTCACTTGGTCTCCTGCAGGCTTGTCAGCCTGTTAACAAATGGCCCTTCTGAAACAGCTCTGGCACCCAGTGCTGCATTTGTTACTTCCTTATGCAGTTTTTCAGGTTCACTGTAGAGTGGTCATGTCCATCTGTTTTGTTGAGTCAAGTACAGTGGCTGAACTACTGCATCATGTGAAACTTAGCACCTTCATTATTTATCTATGTAAAGTTTTTCCTAAGTAGGCCTAGTTTAATAGGGGCTTGTGTCTACTTACCATTAAAGTTCAGCTTCTTACGGAATTCTTTTATTTCTATTATATTAGCAGCATACACTTTCTCCATTCATCACAATCAAAGGAAAGTATGTGTAGTGCTTATAACATGAGCATCCTATTTAGGCTGCCTGTTCCATTTGGGTGGGAACCAGATCCCTGAACATTGTAAATATAGAGCAAGGTTTTGTTTTTCATAACTGAGCATGATTCTGAGAGTTAGGAATGGTTGAAATTGTATGTAGTGAGATTTCATTTTGTTGACACATTGCTCAGGTTAAAAATAGTATACTATTAAAACTTAGAATTTGAAATTATGAAGAAATAAAGTAAGAAAATTTAATGTCTGAATGTTTTAAAGTCATATATTTGATCATAATTATAAATATGCAATGCCTTGATTTGAGTTTATCTGGGAGGGTCGATGGGCTTTTTGATGTTTAGTCAGGTAAATATTTTAATGATTGTATTCCTAATAGGGCAAAAAAGATGTGGCTCAGATTTTCAACAATATTCTCAGAAGACAAATTGGTACAAGAACTCCTACTGTTGAATACATCTGCACCCAACAGAATATTTTGTTCATGTTATTGAAAGGGTATGTACAATGTACTAACATTTATATTCTCGGTAGAAAAGTAAAAAGGAAAGATGGTCTTGGGCAAAAACAGGATGGTGAATGTGGGAAAGCATTTTCTCTGCAGTTCGCTCAGCTCTTTTTTTTGTAGATTTTGAACACATTTTCCTCCTTAAAAATTCAGCCTGTGAGCTCAGTTTAATTTGAAAAAATGCCCATGGAAGTTTAAAGGTAGGTGAATCATGAGTCTTCAATTTTCAAATCATACATGACTGAAGAAATAAGTCCTCTCTGGTTTTATTTCTATTACCTAAGATTTAAAAAGTGTAAGTGTATGAAATGTCAGTTAAATCATGTATTTAAAGACATCTTTGGATAGACGTGCACCCTCTAAGGCAGTAAAAACTGTCTAGTAAGTGGAGCGTGGATACTATATAGCTTAGTCAACAAAGAACATGTTTATGAAGTAGTATCCTTTGCTTTTTACCTGTGTCTACTCACCACAAGTAAAGCAGAGTGCATCTCCCTAAAATTAATCCTGGACTAAGCAGGCATTTGTGTTGGGGTAGTTTGTCAGTTTCAAAAAAGTCCCCCAAAGCCTAAAAACTTAAACTTCAAAACAAAACAAATCCTCCTTTCCCTCGTCACTGAGCCTCCCTGATAGCCAAGGTAACCTCCTGTCGGTTCACACCAGAGTTGTTTGCCGGCTCTGGGCATGGTGTGCGTCTGTCCCAGCCCTGGTGGTGTTCTGTTAAATTGGCAGGCAGGCGTTTTACTGGCATGGCTGTTGGCGTGAATCAGCTTGCTCTCCTACCCCAGCTTTACCACTTGCCTCACTTGATTCCTATCTCTGTGGTTAACACTTCCCTCAAGTTCAGACTTGCTTAGACAAAGCATGAGTCAGTGCGTGCACTGGATGCCAGCATTCTGTTTCCTTTTTTCTATTTCCAACTATCTGTGTTGCTTCTTCAGATGTTGCCATAAGAACTTTTGGCATCTAATGTTTTTTTGTTGTGTCAATCCAGAGTTGTGTGTATAAACATGTAGGGAGTAGGCTGAAATTTTGGTGTTCTTCAGGCAGCTTCCAGGAGCATTGTGTATTTTTAAAGCCAGTAATTTCCTTTTCCATAGGAAGCCATCTTTATTAAAATCTAGAAATTGGTTATCTCTGCCAGGGGTATGAACAGAACATTGTTAAATAGCATGTAAGTACGAATATTTAGATACAACTTAAAGGAAAAGTTTGAAGCTCTTATCCGTCCAAGCCAGAGCAGAAACCTCAGCAGGAAAGGAGAGAGGAGACATGTGCAGAATGCTGCCGGTGTGGGTACCCAACAGAACCCATCCCCTTACCCTTTCTAGCCTGTACTGTTACTGTGTCAAATGTGAGTCAAATGGAGGGGATAAAATAACAAGCCCTTTCCTCCATCACCAGCTTCATCTCTTCTTAAACTGGTCATTCTTGTTTCACGTAGTCCCCCTTTCGCCTCACAACCTTGCTTCAGTTTACATCCCTAGCAAGTAGATGATACATCTGAGGATTTTTTTTACGTAGTCACAATACCATTTACAAACCTAACATTAGCTAATGCTCAATGTTCAAATTTCCTTGATTGTCACACACACAAAATGCCAATTTTTGGTTAGTTTGTTCAAATCAGGTTCCAGGCAAAGCCCACAAACTGAATTAGGTTGATGTGATTCTTAACTTTCTTTTCATCCATAATAGTTCCTGACCCCCTTTTAAAAATATACCATTTATTTGTTGAAGCAACTGGGTC